TAAGAACAATGAGTCTGCTTATAGAAAGGAAGTACAAGGGTTGATACTTTGGTGTAAAGAAAATCATCTTACACTTAACATCAAAAAACTAAAGAACTCATAATTGATTTTAGGAGGAAGAGAAATGTACATTTACCACTGTACATAAATGGCGAGGAAGTGGAGAGAGTTGGTAGTTTTAAATTTCTGGGCACTTACATCTCAGAGGACCTCTCATAGACTATAAATGCCAACATGATAGTGAAGAAGGCACAGAAGAGGCTGTATTTCCTGAGAATGCTCAGCAAGTTAAATTTATCTCAGGATTTACTTCTGTCATACTATCGTAGCACCATTGAGAGTGTCCTAACCTATGGCATTCTGGCATGGTTTGGGAGTAGCTCTGTAGCGGACAAAAAAGCCATTAAAATTGCCCAGAATATCAGTGGACTCCAGCTACCAACCCTGGATGACATCTTCACATCCCGCTGTCTGAGGAAGTCACACAGCATCCTGAGAGACTCTTCCCATCCTGCTTATAACTTTTTTGAACTGTTGCCGTCTGGCAGAAGATATAGAACAATTAAGACTCAGACCACACATTTTTTGAATAGTTTTTATCCCAGAGCTATAATTGCACTTAATAATGAGCTTAAAGACCACCAGTAGTGAATAGTTAGTTGGACTGTGTTACTTGGCCTGCGGTGTAGATGTTTGTATTTTTAGTGGGGACTTTTAGTGGGTGGGGAGTGTTGGGGGATTTTTTAGTGGGTGGGGAGTATTTGGGGAATTTTATGTGTGTGCTCTGGTCCATGGGGTCACGAAGAGTCGGACACGACTAAACGACTGAACAAACAAAAAATGTGTGTGCATGTGTCTGGGTGTCTGTGAATTTCATTGTATGGGTATACTGTGTATAATATATATATTTACAATGACAATCAATCAATCAATCAGTCAATCATCTGCATATTTGAGGTTCCGGCAATCTTAATTCCAGTTTACGATTCATCCAGTCCTGCCTTTCGCATGATGTAGTCTGCATCTAAGTTAAATAAGCAGGGAGACAATATAAAGCCTTGTACTCCTTTCCTGATTTTGAACCAGTCAGTTGTTCCATATCCAGTTCTAACTGCTGCTTCCTGTCCCACATATAGATTTCTCAGGAGACAGATAAGGTGGTCAGGCACTCCCATTTCTTTAAGAACTTGCCATAGTTTGTTGTGGTCCACACAGTCAAAGGCTTTTGCGTGGTTAATGAAGCAGAAGTAATTTTTTTTCTGGAATTCTCTGGCTTTCTCCCTAATCCTGTGCATGTTAGCAATTTGGTCTCTAGTTCCTCTGCCCCTTCAAAAACCAGCTTGTACTTCTGGGAGTTCTCGGTCCACATACTGCTGAAGCCTACTTTAGAGGATTTTGAGCATAATCTTGCTAGAATGTGAAATGAGTGAGTTATTAATTATTACAAGGCATCAATTATACCTGCTGTGCTTTATAAACAAAAGAGGACAACCATCCTGAAGCATGGAAAGTAATAACCAAATCAATATTTGATTTATGAGTTTATGTGTCTTGTTCACATTTGGGAGGCAAGGACTTTTCTTTTAATATTGCATGTATCTTCATTCTTATATGAATTAAAAAATCAAGGGTTGGTTCACTGATGGCCCTCATTGTAGCTTAAAATGAGCCAAACCTAAAATGTTGAGACTTTGTTCAGTACCAAGGCGCAAATAGCCAGTATCTTAAATAATAGAAAATGCAAAATATTATATGCTGAGTACAATCCCAAAAGTGTACAATAGAATGACTAATTTTCTGGTCACTTGGTAAAAAGCTTCCAAGCAAAATGTCAGGCCCCAGTAACTTTTATTTTAAAAACTAATGGTGGGGTCCAATCTTAATAGCCATGTATAGATACAAAATTGTGTCCAGAATCTTACTACTAATAGACACTGGTATAAGTCAAATGGCATAAATCACGGTGATAAATTTACACCAGTTAAAAAGTCAGTACTGAATTCCTCATTGAGTTGCAGTGGCATGAATTGGTGCATGACAAAAAATATAAGCATTGCCTTCTTAAGTGGGTGAACACTGACTATTGGCTACCCTATCTTCATATGGAAGTGATTATCTCTCATCCATGGTCTTCTCTGAATACTAGTCCATAGCCAGCATCTTGTTCAGATTATGACACATGGAACAGAAAGTGTAGAAGTGCTATTTAAAGAGATGCTGGATCACACAACCAGTCATTTTGCCAACTAGCTATGGCAGCTTCCATAATCTACATGGTAATGTGAAAAGGATATTGGCTCATATGTTTAAATAGCTGTAATACATTTTTCTTTTAATTTGCTGTTTATAGTCACCATTTAAGAAATTGTAGATAGATGGATGTACACATGCACATATGTACCTGCACACGTGATAACACATATATGCACACACATATCTCTGATAATTTGGATTGCTAGCTTGGATGTTTTATTAATTCTTTGGGCTTTTCTGTACAGGCTGGTGGAAGACACATACACTATTGATGAAGTGACAGAAATACTGGATGGTTTACAGACTGTGGTCCACAGTGAGGTGGAATCAGAGCTTATTAACACAACGTACACTAATGTGTTGCTGTTGCGTCAGATTTTTTCCCAAGCAGAGAAGTGGTATCTTAAACTGCAGACTGACATTTCAGAGCTGGAAAATAGGTAACTGTTTAAAATGTGCTGTCATTAATAAAGTGTTTCACACATGTATCTTTAGCCGTACAGTGTTTTCATCAAAGATGGTGTGCAGCACACTCCTGAACATGTTTCCTGAGAATTCAGTTATGTGGCAGGGTCATTCCATGTCAAATCAACCAGTGCATGGAACCTTGATGTCATGGATTTGTTTCATTTTTGGTACATTTGTACCTTACCATGAGATGTTTAAAATATTTTTTTCAGATATATTGCTTTTTCAAAATTGCAAAAAAATGCCAAAATTCACTGGCGACCATAAATTCAAATGTCGTTTAATAGATACCTGTGATAGCTACAGAGCTGGGACAGCTGTCATTTTAAAGCTTATGAATAGGGCTTGCTTTTGAAATGCAGCATGATGCAATTGTACATTAAAAAAAAATTAAAAATTAAATTTGAATTTTTGGGAAAATGGAATTTTTTAAAGTTTTCCAGAATTTCACACTTACAGATACATGCCCTGTAGCCAGTTAATCCATATTTCAGGCTGGTATCTCAATGGTATCATACAAAACTTAAATTTTCTTGTTGGCAATGGCAAGGATTTAAATTGACTTAGCCCTGAAAATAGACCAAAATTTCTATACATAATGATTAGGAACCTCTTTTTTTCTCTCTCAGCTAGCATGTTGGATGCTTTTGTCATCTCCTGTGGGGTTAGCTGGTATGTTTTCCCTGTAGCTGTAACTGGATCCAGTTTGCAAAGGATGAAGTTGCCTGGCACTATAAGAACATCCGGTTTCCTAGGATAAGAGAATGATGTTGCTGGTTCAGCTGGATGTAAGGATGATAGCTTGACTTCATGTTCTGCAGCATCCATTGAAAGAACACATCCCATCCACCATGAGTTGTCATAGGCACATGCCACAAAACCATTCAAATGATCAAAATCTACATCTTGAAGTTCGGAAGTGACTTTAATACTAAGATCTATTAAATTACATTTGAAGTTATGGTAGCTAATGAATTTTGGCTTTTTTTTATTTTTGAAAATGCAGTATCTCAGAAACGGATGGACCAAAAAATCTGAAATTTTTTTTTGAAAAAAAAACATCTCATGGTAAGGTACAAATGTACCAAAAATGAACCAAATCCATGACATCAAGTTCCAAAATGGATTTTTCATTGGTTTATTTGACATGGAATGACCCGGCACTCAGTGAAAGTTCGTCTCCAGTAAGTGCGTTCAGTATTGCAGCCTTAGTCTCCAGAGTAATTTATCCACTAAAAGAATGAGTGATGCAGTTTGTATACTGCATCCAGCTTCTGAGGCCATTTTGAGGGGCACCAAAACACCCGTGAAAATTGCCACTGAATTTAAAACAGGTATTTTGCTTTTTAAAAAAATGGCTTGTAGCAGTTACAGTGGTGCCTCGCTTAACGATTGCCTCGTTTAGCGATTAATTCGCATAACGATGTGTATTTTTAGAAAATAATATGCACCGTATAACGATGTTTCCTATGGGCGATTTTCGCTTAGCGAAGTTTGGGACCATGCTTCGCATAACGAATGCGATTTTAGGTCCCCTGCTTCACTTAACGATGTTTCTTTTTTCAATTAAAAA